ACCAGCTTCTTTTTCTTCTTCTTCTAGAAGAAAAGCATTGCAACCAGCAGATGGCATTACCCGCTTCTGGTTTCTGCAGCTTCAGCCGAAAAGAAGTGCAATTAAGACCTGCCCCTGCCCCAGCTTCTTCTTGTGTAGGTCACAAAATTCCCCATCAAAGAATGATTTCAGCCAGGAAAGATAAGCCTACATTTTTGCTGCTTTATGTAACAGTAACTGCAGTGGTGTTGGAATAATTCAACTTTTGTAGACATGGTTGCAGCTGCAGTCTACAGCAATCAGTCTTCTCCCCACCAAACAGGAGAGTACCCCACAACCAGTGGCACTGTGGTCAGAGTGAGCCAGCCTGGCTCTTACTTGTTCAGGGTGGCTCAGGAGATGGCACAACAACCCCCTAGTGCCATTTGTTGTTTTACCTTTTCCAAACTGTTACAGTGAAGCATATTGTACAGTAAAAAGGTGCACTGGATGGATTTGGTTTTGCTTTGCAGTTTTGATGCAGAGCTTGCGCACAAACAGCATGGGCTGCCACTTCCTAGTTCACACTGAGAAGCGATTTTTAACTATCTCCAAGGGCACAGCTGAAAACCAATGAAGAAATCAAATAGAACAGGGACTGGACCCAAATATGCCACCCCCCCCCAAACCACCCAAATTAACAGGGGGAATACATGCAGAAGCACTCCGTGCACCAGCAATTTAGTTGCAAGGCTTTACTTGTTACCTCTACTTTTTATTGAAACATTGCTGTAACAGCACCCATCCACCTACCTGCCACATACCTTGCCCCGATCCACAAATCAATTTTGCAACTTAAGACCAATTTCTTTTGCTCAGGTGAAATATAAGCATAAATGTGGATAAAGCCATAAACGCTGCATATATGGTGACAAGTTCGCTTGTGGCATGAAGGGAGAGGCAACACCAATGGACTGATCCAGTACATATAGAAATATACATCTGTAGAGTTGGAAGGGACCCCAAGGGCCATTTCGCTCAGCCTCCTACAATGGAGGGATCACAACTAAAGAGTCCCTGGCATATAACCATCCAACCTCTGTTTAAAACCCTCCAAGGAAGGGGAGTAGCCTGTTCCACTGTCAAACAGCTCTTACCGTCAAAAGGTTGTCCGCAAGGTTGAGTTGTGATCTCTTTTCTTGTGATTTGGATCCATTGCTCTGGGTCCTAGGCTTTGGAACAGTAAGGATCAACTTTTCTCTGTCTTCCATGGTGCAGCCCTTCAGGTGTTTGCATGTGTGAAAGAGAAGTCACAGAGGTGTATTCATATAGAGGGCGAAAGAACTTGTGCATCCACCCGTGAATGCCAAGCCCATGCTCCGCCTCCATGGGCTAAAAAGTTTCTTGCTACATATAAAAAAAACACACACCAAAAACCTACGCCTGTTCATAAGTAATTATTTTCTCATAGGATTAGCAGTTTAATATCTGAAATTGCAGGTCAGGAGGCCTTCGGAAATGTTGACTGTCATCTCTGATTACTATCGGTGTATACAGTTGCTACATTTCTTCTCTTTTAATTGCTTCTCTTACCCAAAGCTGGAGCACTCCCCCCCCCCTCTTCCTGTAACCTTGCACTTTAAAATCCAAGTTACCTAGGAGATCAAGGTTAGGGTGTATCATTAATGATTAAGACCATATGCCTAAAACATATGGGTGTTTATCATTTGTAGCTTTGATGTCACATTACAATTTTGGCAGGGCACTTGCACAGCTTTGCATCTGAGGAGTCTGTCTGAGGGCCTGAACCTGACTCTTCCTGGGGTCTGGCTGGAAAACAAGGCATGGCATCATCTGAGCATCTGAAAGGATAGAGAAATTCTAATCCCAGAAACCAAAGTTCATATCCTTAATGCAAACTCAGCACGTATGCCTTGCACCTGGATTTTGAATATGATCTTACGCTCTTCCTCCTCACCCTAGAGCCATTATTATTATTATTATTAGTCACTTTTTGCCGTGGCAACTCATGGCAATTAGTCACTTTTTTACCATGACTTACGAAATGGCTTACAAAAAGAAAACACATAAGCATATTAAAACCAGAAGGGGAAAAAATACATTAAAACATCCCACCCACTCTAAAAGGCCATAGATAGTTAAAAGCAAAGGTTAAAATCCTGGTTAAAAAGGAAGGTTGGTGCCAGGTAAGCCTCCCTGGGGAGAGCATTCCACAAGCAGGGAGCCACCACAGAAAAGGCCCATTCTCATGTTGCCACTCTTTGGACCTCTCATGTAGGAGGCACACAAAAAAGTGCCTCAGATGATGATCTCATGGTTTGGGTTAGTTCATATGGGGAGAGGCAGTCCCTGGGCCATTTAAGGCTTTATAGGACAAAATCAGCACTTTTAATTAGAGCAAGAACAGCAAGGAGTCTGGTGGTGCTTTACAGACTTAACATATTTATTATACATACATTTTTGTGAACTAATATCCTTTTCAGCTCCTGCCAACCTAGCAGTTCAAAAGCACGTCAAAGTGCAAGTAGATAAATAGGTACCGCTCCAGCGGGAAAGTAAGTGGCGTTTCTGTGCACTGCTCTGGTTCGCCAGAAGCGGCTTAGTCATGCTGGCCACATGACCCGGAAGCTGTACGCCGGCTCCCTCGGCCCATAAAGCGAGATGAGCGCCGCAATCCCAGAGTCGGTCACGACTGGACCTCATGGTCAGGGGTCCCTTTACCTTTATCCTTTTCAGCAGGCATACAATTTAGGGTTGGCTTTTTGTGATCCTTTTTTTGTTTAAATATTAGCAATTTTAACATAAACATTTGGAAACTTGCCTCTTTCCCTCTTGTGGGGGTTATTTGTGTGGAAATGTGACTGTGGGATTTTCTGTATTCTGTGTAACTGGGGTGAGTTGGGGGGGACGGAATAACTCTGGCCTGCTCACTTTTCAGTTTCAGCCCCAACTATCCTGCCTTAAATCATTGGGAAGGGCAGCGTGTGGAGAGCAATTCAACATATATCCAGTCACAAAACCAATTACCTGCATATATATACCCCCAAATTCTGTTCAGTTGTACCTCGGGTTAAGTACTTAATTTGTTCTGGAGGTCTGTACTTAACCTGAAACTGTTCTTAACCTGAAACACCACTTTAGCTAATGGGGCCTCCTGCTGCTGCCATGCTGCCGGAGCACAATTTCTGTTCTTTTCCTGAAGCAAAGTTCTTAACCTGAAGCACTATTTCTGGGTTAGCGGAATCTGTAACCTGAAGCATATGTAACCCGAGGTACCACTGTATTATTTAGCACCACATCAGACATGCAAAAATCCAATGTCAATCTCATGACATCTCCCAGAAACCCACCCTTACTTCTTTCCTTCCAGTGTATATACCATGGAAACAAAGCTTAATAAAAGTTTTGTGTTCATCCCACTATAACATTTAGTGTTAAACCTCTTTGACAGGCGTAACGCTATTGCTCTGTCGAAATCCCATGTTTTAGTCCAGTATGTGTTTCCTGATCCTGAATTCAGGTTCTGGTGCTTTGAACTGATCTTGCATAGGCTTTATTATAAATATAGGGGGTCACATAGATTGCAGTTGCACAGTCCGTAACTCTGTCATAAATAGCACAATACAGTCATGCTAAATTCTCTCATATGATAATATGGATGGAGACATACCCAAAACTGGATTTACCGGTGAACCCAATTGCCTACCTGACTTCAAGAACTTTTAAAAAAGTCATCAATAGCATAGACATGTGCACATAAATGGTCAGCAACTAAAGAACTTTGCTCCAAATCTAGGCCCCTGAAAGGAGGTTCCTGGCCCCTGATTCACCAACTCGGAGACAAAAGTGGTGTGGAGGTGCTTCTGTGGCTACGAAACTTACTAGCTAACAATTTTGGAGGGTTGGACTTGAAATGATTGGTTTTGGCACCCAGTGGGCCTCCTAACAAATGCAATGGCTGACCAGCCATTTGTTGGGGGAACGAATGAAAACATTCATGAAGGCACCAGAAATCCAGGAACTGTGGTTTTTGCAGCATTTGTTTTCCAATGACACAGCTTCATGTCTATGTGTGTTTTTAATTATAAAAATCTGAACAAAACTGAAGCTAATTGCTGCAGTCTTAAGTGATGTTGGCATCATTTTCTGCAGTGAGAGATACATTTATTCAACAGTGCAAAGGGCCAAGGACCCCCAAATTTAGAACAATCATGATTTACTGTGTCTCTTGAGCGAAGTGCATTTGTTACCTTGGAAACAAATAGCTGCAGTGAACAACTAGATAAAATTTATGGAATCATCATCAATAAAACTTGATTATAAATGTGCAAAAACATACACAATTTGATGTTGATGTGCAACATGGTGATGCAGTGAATAGCCATTATATATCTACTTGCATTTTTGGACAGTGGAAGGATGGTTTTTTTTACAGTGGGGAGGTGTTGTTGTTATTAGGCAGTTTGTGAAGAAATCATCTGCTCTTTTTCATATTTGGGGGCATTTAATTTTAACTTTCAGTTTAGTGTCTCACAAAAATTGCGCGCTGTCCTTGGTGTAAAAAAAAAAATTCCAGAATGGCAGCAATGAAAACTGAAGAATGTGGCTGCGGATTATTCCTGCTCTTCCCCTGAGTCTAGGGGTACATTTTATTCAATATAAAGAAATTACCTCATGCTTAGTTGGTATCGCTACTGACTTGGATTTTCTTAGAATTTGGTAACAAGTATACTCAATAGTATGCAAAAAACAAAACAAAATCCACTGAGATCTGCCCTGTCACTATGTACTCATGCTGGCTTCTAATTTAAACCTGTTTATTTATTCCAGCTTTTGGTATTTCTTAGCCTCATACCTAATGAGTGTCACATTGTGTTTTAAGATTATTCATTGTTGTTGAATTTACCTGTCACTGATTTGTAGTTGAATTTGCTGTTTTAATTGTCAGCGTAACTGACCCTGAACACGTTCTGTACTCTGTAAACCGCTCTGCACACTGATGCTGTTAAATTGGGACCTCTAAGGAGCCTCATATGGTCCCACATCCCTTACATTTTAACACCTCTGAGGTGTTAAAATGTAAGGGATGTGGGACCATATGAGGCTCCTTAGAGGTCCCAATTTAACTTGTGGAGACCTTTCTGTAAACACACAAATTAGTCAACCATCTTCATATGCTTTAAGTTTAGGGTAGTTTTTAATGTTTGATGTTGTTGCTTTTTTATTATCGCTATTGATGTTCTGTTGGGAGCCGCCCAGAGTGGCTGGGGAAACCCAGCCAGATGGGCGGGGTATAAATATTATTATTGCTAAAGTTCTGAGTTGCTGCCAGTTCGTATTGCTGAACTCATCTTTGCTAGCTGGTGGGCAGAATTGAGAGGGTGAATTCTAATGAAATCCTACAAATCCAGAGAATGGGAAGCTCACCTCAGGCATTCCAATCTGCATAGTGAATATAACATCTAGACCTGCCCCTAGAATCCAGGAGGGTATTGAGGGATGTGGGAAAACCTATTTAGGTTTGGATAGTGCTTTTTTCCTTAAAAAAAAATGTTTAGGGGTACTCTCATTTTCCTACTCATATTGAAATTAAAAGGTACAGGTAAAGGACCCCTGACAGTTAAGTCCAGTTGCGAAGGACTCTGGGGTTGTGGCGCTCATCTCACTTTACTGGCCAAGGGAGTCTGTTTGTCTGCAGACAGTTTTTCCGGGTCATGTGGCCAGCATGACTAAGCCACTTTTGGCGAAACCAGAGCAGCGCACAGAAACGCCATTTACCTACCCGCCTATTTATCTACTTGCACTTTGACATGCTTTTGAACTGCATCCTCTTCTCTGGTTTTTGGCAGGATGCAGAAATAGGCAGCTGGAGGCTTCATGGTCTTTAGGCCAGTTTGAAGTAGATGGTAGACCTGTTTTAAATTTCTTTTGTTGTCCTGTAATTCTATATTAATTACCCTTAGCATAGGGTTTGGCCTCAATCCCAGCAAATATTAATTTGTTATGCCGCTGGTAGTCATGGCCCTATGACATTTTAGCTGCAATCTCCTCTCTGTTTGTTTCATCTGTCATCTCCTTTGCTCTTGGCTTATTGCTAACCCGTGCCTTTTTGAATCCTCAGCCACAGGTGAGGGGTTTTGGCACTAGGAAATATGGCTTGATATCATCTTCCATTCAAAGGGGATAACTTTTCCACCTGTCCTTAATTTGCATTTAGGTGGTGTTGCTGCTCTGAGACGTTGAGTGCCCTTCTTTTCTCAATGATGACAGCATTTGGGGTGGCAGGGAACTGAGGGTGCTCAGCCCCAGCCCCCAGATGCTCAACACATTTAAATATTAGGACCTTTTAATCTTGAGCTATGAGCATAAGAGCCCTACAAAAAGAAAAAAGGCTGGGGAGTAATCATTCAGGGTTTTGCACAGGCATCAACAATTACAAGAAGGTTAGCAAAAATCACGCTTAGATGATGGAATAAGCGCAATCAAGCACTTGTCATAGGATAATTACAGTGTATTTTAATTTATTTTTACTAAGCATATTTGCAATCCCATTTAGGATCAAAATGCAAATCTCACTTGAATCAAGATCCCATTCCCTGCAAACCCGAAAGGTTCACTTTCTCTCTTCAACTCAGTGTACAGCTCACGATTTTTAACTGCGGTTAGCTATTCACATTAGCATGCAGAAGTATAAGACAGGTTGAGCCCCTTTTGGAAATAAATTTAGTGACTTGCTAAATTCTTTCTGTTATATTTTTAAAAGATCTAATCCCCGCTTTGTGGGGACTTGAGGGGACTTTTTGTTAAAAGGGGGGGGGGGGTGCATTGTCAATAACAGCAATGGCAGGCACTTCTGATGAATGAAAATAAATATTTTAAAGTCCCAACCAAAAGCAAAGCCTGCAAGAGTGAGAAGGGAGCAATATATAATTTGGTGTGGCATTATGAAGCAGAGCAGCTCTTGACAAGTGAGTGATGTTAAAGGTCATCTGCCATTGCTTACAGCCTTTTTGGAATGGTAGAATCAAGTTCAAACTCAGGATGTTTTTTGTGCCTTAAATTTCTCTAGGGATATCCTTCATAATGTCTTCATGCAGGATAACACTGCAGTAAACGAAACACAGTGCACAGGATTAAAGGGTTATTTCCCTTGTGTGTTGAGCTGACACAGAATGCTTAAACCTCAGGATGTTTTTGAGTTGTCTCTATCTTCTGGAGGTCCTCCTTCTTAATGACAACAGCTCTTTCTAGCTTTTGCTTGGGAGGCTAATTTTGCCCCCAGTTTAGAAAAAAATTGGAGCCATTTTTGTGCACCAGTAAAATAAAACTAATGTATCTAAAATGTGCTGGGGCACCTATTTTTTCAGCTCTGGTACTGTATAAACACAGAATGGCTGCCCATCTGGTTGTCTAACTCAGGCTCCTAAACAGATACTGTCCTGATCACCCACAGAGACTAAAGAATCTGCCCCAGGCAATTAGGAAGAGGACTATGAATTGGTGAATTGGACAAGAGCTGAGCTTCCCCTTCTATTTTGGGCCCCATCCAACTCTACAGCTCTATGATCTTACAAAGAGGGGAACTGAGAGTGTGGGCATTGCTAGTGAGTTGGTGGCTCAGCTAAAGGTTGAGCTAGGTCCTTGTTTCCTTCTTTTATCAGAAGCACTTGACCTTACCTGGCAAAAGGTTAACCTTCCCTGAGCTACTTCCAGAAAATCCCTTTGGAACATGAGGAACCTGTTCTTGCTCCACCATGAGGTCCAGAGGCTTCTGATTACACTCAGCAGCATCTGGACTTGGCTGGCAGCACAACATGGCAACCATTGGCAAGGAGGGATTCTTTGCTAGTGAAGTCTGCCTTCCTCTCCATGCTGGCTGGGCCCGATGCAAGCTGTAGTCCAATGCATTTGCAGGGCAATCAGGTTAAGAACATAAGAAGACCTGGCAAACCTGGAACTATACTTAATAATCAGATAATGATAGTCCTTATTTGGGCTTCGTTATTGTAATTCATATGCAGCTACTCATTCTAAATGCCTGTTTTTCATCTTTTAATTTTCATTTGTTATAATTGTTCTCTGTTTCATATACATTATAAAATGAAATAATAATAAACTGTACCAAAAAAAACACACAAAACCATAAGAAGAGCCTGCTGGATTAGGCCAATGACCCATTAGTCCAGCATCCTGTTCTCACAGTAGCCAACCAGATACCTCAAGAGGAAACCTGCAAGCAGGATCCGAGAACAAGAGCACTCTCCCCCTTGTAGTTTTTAGCAAGTGCTGTTCAGAAGAGTTTCTGCCTCCAACCATGGAGGCAGAACATAGCCATCCTGGTTACTAGCTACTGATGGAGCCTTACCTTCCATGAACTTGTTTAATCCTTTTTTTACACCATCTAGGTTGGTGGCCTTATGAGAGTGAGTTCCATAGTTTAAATATGTGATGTGTTAAGAAGTACTTGCTTTTCTCTGTCCTGAATCTTCCAAAAGTCATATTCATTGGATGACCATGAGTTATAGTGCTACAAAAGAAGGGGGGGCAGGGAGAAAGAAATCCTTCTCTATCTCCGTTCTCCATCCTATGCACCAGTTTTTCAGCTTCTGTTATTGTCACCTTTTATTTGCCTTTTCTCTAAACTAAAAAAAGTTGGGGGGAAGCTGTTCTAAAGATACCATCACGCATTGTCTTTACCTCAGGGTAGATGCAAAGCCAAATACACACCATTTATTGCAGCAAGAGTAGAAAGTGATGATGTTGCTAATAACACTTCTGCTTAAAGGCAACCAGCAATATGCCAGGGTGCATCTGCACAGCACCTTATCTGTTGTTCTCAAAGCATCTTGGGCTCTTTCCCCAGCTCTGCCCATTACTTTTCTGAGTGGTCATGAGCAAATCAACTCAGGGTTGTCTTCATTCAGGTTTGGCTTTTGCTTATGCCAAGCAGCTGCTTGAAGCTCCAGGCTTTGCGGAGAATTTCAAGAGCTCTTTCAGAGAACTATGTAGGCACGTTACAGATTGCCACTGTTTGTGCTGCAGTCAACCATTATTTATGAGTCTCCAGTTCTGCATAATTCAACAGGGATATCACAGGGTCCTGCACAGAGAACCTGATTACGTATGTTTGCAGTGCCCTACTAAAACAAAGGGAGCAAACCATTAGCAAGAGATGTCAGAAAGGTAGGAAATTTTGGGTTGGAGTCTTTGAACATTGAAGCTTTGGTGAGGATTTTTTTGTTTTATTTTAAAATATATACATAATGGCAATCAAAAATAGTATCCATTCCAAATTATAGGAGCAAATAAGAGACCCTAATTGTGTTGTGGAAACATCTACAAAAATTAGATTGCAGTAATCTAGGCTGCTTCAACAGAGGTATAGTTTCCAAATCAAGGGAAATCTATTCCCAGAGTTCCTTGAGAGAAGCATTGACTGTTAAACCCCACTGGAGTCTGTAGCTCTGGGACAGGAACAGGGGGTCTCCTAGTAACTCTCAGCACAAATGATAGGTCCCAGAATTCTTTGGGGAAAGCCATGACTGTTTAAAGTGGTATCATAGATGTACGGTGATATCATGTATGGTGTGATTGTGGCTTGTCCACCACTTGGGGAAATGTGTCGGGTCAGTTTAGGAACATATATATTGGCTCCTTGGTAAACCAAGGGGACGGGTTTTGGCGGGGTCGCAGAGGGCGCCTACGTGCGATCTCACTGATGGCTGCCAAGAGCCAGTTATTCCAGCTCTCAACAAGCTCATCTAATGAGCCACCAGGAGAAGCAGGGTCCCGCAAGGCCTGATGGAATCCATCAGGATCCATCAGCCTCCATGGGCGAACCCAAATCAGCTCGCCACCCAAGCAGAAGGGGGGGGGGGCGGAAGTCAATCCTGGCTTTCAGAACTTAGTGATCAGACCATGGCAGCTCTACAGGGGAGGACATCATCACATCTATAACTGCGCCAAAGATCAAATCCACTGTGTGGCCTGCTTGATGTTTGGGGCTCCAAAACAAACTGGGAGAGTCCTAGTGTCGCCCTGGAGGACACCAGGTCCAGAGCCCATGAAGAGGGGGTGGCATCAGCATGGGCATTGAAGTCCCCCAAAACC